TCGGTCCGAGCCCTGATCGGCTCCATTCCAAACCCACAGCAGACAATTCTGCAAAGGTTCTTCGGAACTATCATGTTTCTGTGAAAAGCCCGATCGCTTAGTGTCCGACGGGAACGTTTGTCGTCTTCTACAGAGTCGTCCAGTCTGAATCAGAATCATTCTCGCTCTGGATGCATTTCGACAGCTTTTGACAGTTCGAATCGCAGATACACCCTACGGCTCCAGCCATGTCGTCGTGGTGGCAAAAAGATGGTGACGAGTCAAAGAACACCTGGTCTAAAGACCAATGGGGTTCCAACAACACATGGTGGCAAAGCTCAGACTGGAATTCCTCAGCAGCCTCTACACCTTCGCTGCCCACACCTCCGTTGCCCACCTCATTTGTTTCGGATCACCAGCACTATGACAAAACCCCACTCGGGAAAGGTGCTCATGTGTTGCACAAACAGGTGCAACCAACCGAATGGTCCCGTAAATCGGGCCTGGCAGGCCGTGATGTCACAGATATCCGTGCCTACGAACTTTCGCACCGTGGTTCAGGAGATTTTTCGTTCAGATTGCTTTCAGAAGGTCGCCATCAGAGTATAGTCTGGGCGAGAAGCGGATCAGAATCGGTCCTGCTCACCGCTCTGCTCAAAAAGATCAGAGAGAGCGGAATTTCCATCGACGAAGCTGCCAAAGTTTGTCACAAGGAGGCACCGCCCGACAAACACAAGGAAGCAATGAGGTTCATGGAACCTCTTGCTCAAGATTTAATGGATTGCATTGCAGCTAAAGTTCCCGTGCAAAATTCGGATGCTTCAGAGCAACTGGCCAAGGCCAAAGCCAAACTGGCCGAGCACGGCATTGAAATTTCTCCTTTAAAACGCAAGTCTGATTCTGCACCCAGTGCTTCAGAGCAACATGGCAAGCGAGCTAAGCCTCCTATGCCTGTTGCAGATGCTGAGTCGAAGCCCCTTTCCGACGTTGAGAAACTCTTGGATGAGCCTAAGAGGATGCTGGATTCTCGCCCCAAGGGAGCCACAGATGACCATGTCACTGAGTGGCTCAACACATTCAAGACCAAGCCAGATTTTAGAGGCAAACATCCTCAGCTGGTCAAGTATGTGAAGACAGTTCAAGATTTGCTCAAGAAAGGCACTGCCAAAGACGAAATAGTCTCGGCAGCGATTCGCTTTGGCTTAGATGCCAAACTGGCATCTCGCCTCTCGCTGAAGAACCTCTCAGCCACTATAGCTGTGGCACAGTTTGAGGCAGCCTGACTAGCGATGAAATGTTCGCACCTGGCCTCGCACGAAAGAAGTGCCCTCAAAGCAGACATATGTCAGCTGGGACAAGCAGTCACCTTTTTTCTGCATGAGTGCCCGGGCTTCAACAAACAATCCATGTTGTGGGCCCAGGGCCTGCTGCACCTCCTCCTTCTGTTTTACTTTCAAGATGGATCCTTCACATCCTATGCTGAAGTGATCCGATCCAAACTTCGGTGTTTCAAAATCCATCCGATGGACTACACCTGGCCGAGGTTTCAATCCCAAAATGCTGTATATATGAAAGCTGCAGTGGATTGGCGCCATTTTTCAAGTGTCGAACAGTATCGGCAGCCTTCCACCTTCATGTATATTGGATCTACAAGCCAGTCAGTTTTTCGGCGAGAGTCTAATAGACTCTCTGTAGCTAAGAAGTTGGCCACCGGCGGAGAGGCTCAAGCAGAGCTAGCCATCCGATACTGGGTTTCCAATGACTGCTTGCAACAGTATACTTTGTTTCTTCTTACTCCGTGCTCATCGTACAGAGAAGCATGGATCACAGAACATTGCCTTATAGGGATGTGGCAATCAAAGCTCAACCACCCCTATATAGTGTCTTTTTTGAAACGAAGTGCCTTGGGATTTCGTCCCAACAAGCGCATACGCAACACAGTATCGTCAAAGTTCGGTTTGCGATTGTGGAGGAAGCTGCGAAAGAAGCTTCACACCCAACTCCAACCGGAACAGTTTCAGTTAAAGCGTCGGCCAGCATGGGAGATCGTGTTCAATCTCACTTGCTTCAGTCGGGCCCCCTTTGAAGAGGCCAAAAGACTGCGAAGTGGCCGGTATGTACCAGATGACATCTACTCGCTCATTAGGCTGAGCAACTGTCTTGAGGAACCAGGCAAGAGCAAAGCTCGCAAGATCCTCAAATCTGTCTGTGTGTACAGGAATATGACCTGGCCAAAATCAGCCATGGGACTTCAACTCCGATTTACCTCTCATCCCAGCTTTTGCTCGGAAGTGTCGGCATGGATCAGAAAACAGGTCCTCAGCCACAA